TGTAGGTGCGTGTATCTTGAGTGTGGCAGGGTGTAGGTGCGTGTATCATGAGTGTGGCAGGGTGTAGGTGCATGTATCTTGAGTGTGGCAGGGTGTAGGAGCATGTATCTTGAGTGTGGCAGGGTGTAGGAGCATGTATCTTGAGTGTGGCAGGGTGTAGGTGTGTGTATCTTGAGTGTGGCAGGGTGTAGGTGTGTGTATCTTGAGTGTGGCAGGGTGTAGGTGCGTGTATCATGAGTGTAGCAGGGTGTTGGAGCATGTATCTTGAGTGTGGCAGGGTGTAGGTGTGTGTATCATGAGTGTGGCAGGGTGTAGGTGCATGTATCTTGAGTGTGGCAGGGTGTAGGTGCATGTATCTTGAGTGTAGCAGGGTGTAGGTGCATGTATCTTGAGTGTGGCAGGGTGTAGGTGCATGTATCTTGAGTGTGGCAGGGTGTAGGTGCATGTATCTTGAGTGTGGCAGGGTGTAGGTGCGTGTATCTTGAGTGTGGCAGGGTGTAGGTGCATGTATCTTGAGTGTGGCAGGGTGTAGGTGCGTGTATCTTGAGTGTGGCAGGGTGTAGGTGTGTGTATCTTGAGTGTGGCAGGGTGTAGGTGCATGTATCTTGAGTGTGGCAGGGTGTAGGTGCATGTATCTTGAGTGTAGCAGGGTGTAGGTGCATGTATCTTGAGTGTGGCAGGGTGTAGGTGTGTGTATCTTGAGTGTGGCAGGGTGTAGGTGCGTGTATCTTGAGTGTGGCAGGGTGTAGGTGCATGTATCTTGAGTGTGGCAGTGTGTAGGTGCGTGTATCTTGAGTGTGGCAGGGTGTAGGTGCATGTATCTTGAGTGTGGCAGGGTGTAGGGCATGTATCTTGAGTGTGGCAGGGTGTAGGTGCATGTATCTTGAGTGTGGCAGGGTGTAGGAGCATGTATCTTGAGTGTGGCAGGGTGTAGGTGCGTGTATCTTGAGTGTGGCAGGGTGTAGGTGCGTGTATCTTGAGTGTGGCAGGGTGTAGGTGCATGTATCTTGAGTGTAGCAGGGTGTAGGTGCATGTATCTTGAGTGTGGCAGGGTGTAGGTGCATGTATCTTGAGTGTGGCAGGGTGTAGGTGCGTGTATCTTGAGTGTGGCAGGGTGTAGGTGCATGTATCTTGAGTGTGGCAGGGTGTAGGTGCATGTATCTTGAGTGTAGCAGGGTGTAGGAGCATGTATCTTGAGTGTGGCAGGGTGTAGGTGCATGTATCTTGAGTGTGGCAGGGTGTAGGTGCATGTATCTTGAGTGTGGCAGGGTGTAGGTGTGTGTATCTTGAGTGTGGCAGGGTGTAGGTGCGTGTATCTTGAGTGTGGCAGGGTGTAGGTGCATGTATCTTGAGTGTGGCAGGGTGTAGGTGCATGTATCTTGAGTGTGGCAGGGTGTAGGTGAATGTATCTTGAGTGTGGCAGGGTGTAGGAGCATGTATCCACCACACACAAACACCACCACCACCACCACAACAACCACCACCACCACCACCACAACAACCACCACCACCACCACCACAACAACCACCACCACCACCACAACAACCACCACCACCACCACCACAACAACCACCACCACCACCACCACAACAACCACCACCACCACCACCACAACACACCACCACCACCACCACCACAACAACCACCACCACCACCACCACAACAACCACCACCACCACCACCACCACCACCACCACCACCACCACCACCACCACCACCACCACCACAACAACAACCACCACCACCACAACAACAACCACCACCACCCAACAACAACCACCACCACCACAACAACCACCACCACCACCACAACAACCACCACCACAACAACCACCACCACCACCACAACAACCACCACCACCACAACACCACCACCACCACAACCACCACCACCACCACCACCACCACCACCACCACCACCACCACACCACCACCACCACACCACCACCACAACAACCACCACCACCACAACCACCACCACCACCACCACAACCAACCACCACCACCACAACAACCACCACCACCACCACAACAACACCACCACCACCACCACCACCACCACCACCACCACAACCACCACCACCACCACCACCACCACCACCACCACAACAACCACCACCACCACAACACAACCACCACCACCACAACAACCACCACCACCACAACAACCACCACCACCACAACAACCACCACCACCACAACAACAACCACCACCACAACAACCACCACCACCACCACCACCACCACCACCACCACCACAACAACCACCACCACCACAACAACCACCACCACCACCACAACAACCACCACCACCACCACCAACACACCACCACCACCACCACCACCACCACCACCACCACAACAACCACCACCACAACAACCACCACCACCACAACAACCACCACAACCACCACCACCACCACAACAACACCACCACCACAACAACCACCACCACCACAACAACCACCACCACCACCACAACAACCACCACCACCACAACAACCACCACCACCACAACAATAACCACCACCACCACAACCACCACCACCACCACAACACCACCACCACCACCACCACCACCACCACAACCACCACCACCACCACCACAACAACCACCACCACCACAACAACCACCACCACCACCACAACAACCACCACCACCACCACCACAACAACCACCACCACCACAACAAACCACCACCACAACAACCACCACCACCCACCACCACAACAACCACCACCACCACCACAACCACCACCACCACCACAACAACAACCACCACCACCACCACCACCACCACCACCACAACAACACCACCACCACCACAACAACAACCACCACACAACAACCACCACCACCACAACAACAACCACCACCACCACAACAACAACCACCACCACCACCACCACCACCACCACCACCACCACAACCACCACCACCACCACAACAACAACCACCACCACCACAACAACCACCACCACCACCACAACAACAACCACCACCACAACAACAACCACCACCACCACAACAACCACCACCACCACAACAACCACCACCACCACAACAACCACCACCACCACCACAACCACCACCACCACAACAACAACCACCACCACCACCACCACAACAACCACCACCACAACAACAACAACCACCACCACCACAACAACAACCACCACCACCACAACAACAACCACCACCACCACAACCACCACCACCACAACAACAACAACCACCACCACCACCACCACCACCACCACCACAACAACAACCACCACCACCACCACCACCACCACCACAACCACCACCACCACCACCACAACAACCACCACCACCACAACCACCACCACCACCACCACCACCACCACCACAACAACAACCACCACCACCTCTCCAAGGTGTACCTATACAATCATTACCCTCATTTCCATATAAATTGAAGCCGGACAGGTCCAGGGGGTTCTAAAGACCCCTAATGTTTTCCCTTGGCCGTGGCACTATGCCAGAGTGCCAGGCACAGTTTTAGGTCGTGTGAACACGCAAATCAGGTTGCCTCGTTGCCTTGTTTGGGTTCAATTGCTTCGGCTGGGTTAATCCTCTTGTTTGTTGTTAGGTAGGAAGGCAGAGCCAGCCCCTAGGGTGGTGATGCCGACCAAGATGCCGCTAGTCTCAAGGTATTGAATTGCTTTCAGCCTTAGGAGGTCGCGGGGCTGTGTTTTGAGTGTGCGAGGGCGTGGGTGTGGGTGTTAATGGGGGATTGATGTGGGGGAGGTGTAGGGATTATATTGCGTGTGCGTGTGGGTGTGTGGGGTGTGCAGTAGTCAAGCACTCAAGTTGGCAACACCGTCCTCTGATCTTCCCCTTCAGTTCAGGTGAGGAGAGGAGAGGAGACGGAGGAGGAGGAGGAGGAGGAGGCCGTGACACTCACTAGTCTATTACCTTCCTCTCATCCTCTCTCCTTTAGTCCAAAATCTCCCTATTTACCCATTTTCCACATAGATTTATCGAAGAATTACCGTGACCAAGGATTGGCAACACACACTCCCGGGGGATTAGTGGGTATGAATGAAAGTGAATATTGTCCGAGGTGGCAACTGTGGCGGGCATGTGGTGGTGAGGATGGGGGGGGGGGGGAGGAGGAGGAGGGGCGGGCCGCCATCTTGGAGAATACCGCCTGAGGGCAGCCAATGGGACGCGGGGCCTCCACTTCTTCCACACTCTCAGGCACCTCTGGAAACCACCCGTCCTGGAAGCTTATTGATAAATTCTTGTGACATGATCCTCTGCAGGGAATGATGAGGCATTTCTCTCTCACCTCTTCACGGGGCGCCCTTGGACTCATTTGTGTTCCATAAGTTAGGTTTTCTTCAGTGTGTACCTCACCCAGGACCACGAGCTGGAACTTATCGTCGCCTTTGTCTGCATGTCCAATATTATCATTGTTAAAGGTAGTGTGTGTGTGTTGATATTACCCGTGGGGAGGACATTATCATGCCCCGGGGTCCGGTAGGAGTTCCTGGGGAATGTGGGGGTCCGGTAGGAGTCACCAGGGGAATGTGGGGGTCCGGTAGGAGTCCCCGGGGAATGTGGGGGTCCGGTAGGAGTCCTCCGGGGAATGTGGGGGTCCGGTAGGAGTTCCTGGGGAATGTGGGGGTCCAATAGGAGTTCCTGGGGAATGTGGGGGTCCTGAAGGAGTTCCCGGGGAATGTGGGGGTCCTGTAGGAGTCCCCGGGGAATGTGGGGGTCCAGTAGGAGTCCCCGGGGAATGTGGGGGTCCAGTAGGAGTCCCCGGGGAATGTGAGGGGTCCGGTAGGAGTCCCCGGGGAATGTGAGGGTCCAGTAGGAGTCCCCGGGGAATGTGGGGGTCCAGTAGGAGTCCCCGGGGAATGTGGGGGTCAAGTAGGAGTCCCCCGGGGAATGTGGGGGTCCTGAAGAAGTTCCCGGGGAATTTGGGGGTCCGGTAGGAGTCCTCCGGGGAATGTGGGGGTCCAGTAGGAGTCACCAGGGAATGTGGGGGTCCAGTAGGAGTTCCCGGGAATGTGGGGGTCCTGTAGGAGTCCCCCGGGGAATGTGGGGGTCCAGTAGGAGTCCCCGGGGAATGTGGGGGTCCAGTAGGAGTCCCCGGGGAATGTGAAGGGTCCGGTAGGAGTCCCCGGGGAATGTGGGGGTCCAGTAGGAGTCCCCGGGAATGTGGGGGTCCAGTAGGAGTCCCCGGGGAATGTGGGGGTCCAGTAGGAGTCCCCCGGGGAATGTGGGGGTCCAGTAGGAGTCCCCGGGGAATGTGAGGGGTCCTGTAGGAGTCCCTGGGGAATGTGGGGGTCCAGTAGGAGTCCCCGGGGAATGTGGGGGTCCAGTAGGAGTCCCCGGGGAATGTGAGGGGTCCGGTAGGAGTCCCCGGGGAATGTGGGGGTCCAGTAGGAGTCCCCGGGGAATGTGGGGGTCAAGTAGGAGTCCCCCGGGGAATGTGGGGGTCCTGAAGAAGTTCCCGGGGAATGTGGGGGTCCGGTAGGAGTCCTCCGGGGAATGTGGGGGTCCAGTAGGAGTCACCAGGGAATGTGGGGGTCCAGTAGGAGTTCCCGGGGAATGTGGGGGTCCTGTAGGAGTCCCCCGGGGAATGTGGGGGTCCAGTAGGAGTCCCCGGGGAATGTGGGGGTCCAGTAGGAGTCCCCGGGGAATGTGAAGGGTCCGGTAGGAGTCCCCGGGGAATGTGGGGGTCCAGTAGGAGTCCCCGGGGAATGTGGGGGTCCAGTAGGAGTCCCCGGGGAATGTGGGGGTCCAGTAGGAGTCCCCCGGGGAATGTGGGGGTCCAGTAGGAGTCCCCGGGGAATGTGAGGGGTCCTGTAGGAGTCCCTGGGGAATGTGGGGGTCCAGTAGGAGTCCCCGGGGAATGTGGGGGTCCAGTAGGAGTCCCCGGGGAATGTGAGGGGTCCGGTAGGAGTCCCCGGGGAATGTGGGGGTCCAGTAGGAGTCCCCGGGGAATGTGGGGGTCCAGTAGGAGTCCCCGGGGAATGTGGGAGTCCAGTTGGAGTCCCCGGGGAATGTGGGGGTCCGGTAGGAGTCCCCGGGGAATGTGGGGGTCCAGTAGGAGTCCCCGGGGAAGAGTGGCGTGGTCCTACAGATTGGAACACAGCGTGACCTCTAAAATGTGAAATGAACCCTGCTTGCCTTGGTCCTCGCCTCGTCAACACGGCCACACTGACCCACCAACACTGACCCACCCACCAACACTGACCCACCAACACTGACCCACCCACCAACACTGACTCACCAACACTGACCCACCAACACTGACCCACCAACACTGACCCACCAACACTGACCCACCCACCAACACTGACCCACCCACCAACACTGACCCACCAACACTGACCCACCCACCAACACTGACCCACCCACCAACACTGACCCACCAACACTGACCCACAAACACTGACCCACAAACACTGACCCACCAACACTGACCCACCAACACTGCTCAGGAATCTGTACACCTGTTGATTGACGGTTGAGAGGCGGGACCAAAGAGCCAGAGCTCAACCCCCGCAAACACAACTAGGTGAGTACAACTAGGTGAGTACTGACCCACCAACACTGACCCACCAACACTGACCCCACCAACTCTGACCCACCAACACTGACCCACCAACACTGACCCACCCACCAACACTGACCCACCCACCAACACTGACCCACCAACACTGACTCACCAACACTGACCCACCAACACTGACCCACCAACACTGACCCACCAACACTGACCCACCAACACTGACCCACCATCACTGACCCACCAACACTGTGTCTAGCCATCAAAAGACAGAAGGGGGGGGGGGGGGGGGTAAGGTGTTGTTGCGGTGTGTGTGTGTGTGTGTGTGTGTGTGTGTGTGTGTGTGTGATTGTAGGGTGTGGGAAGAGGTTTTGGGTGGGAGGGAGGGGAGGAGGGGCAGCTTGACACTTCTCACTCTCAGGGGGAGAGATTATTAGGCACTGATAACCAAGTTAGGCTAAGTTACGATAAATTAAGACTTGGGAACTTGAAGTTTGGATGTGACTATTTTTTTTTGCACAAAGGTAAGTTTGCCCCACAGATCGTCTGCAACATCAAGAATGCAAACAGCTGCATGTTTGGGTGTGCATGTTTGGGAGAACTTGCCTAGATTTAGGTGGGATCGGGTTCGGCCACATTTGGGTAGATATAGGTTCTTTTATGAGGGAACGAATGGAGGTGTTGTCTCTCCTTTACCTTGGTGAGGGGAGGGGTTGTAGAGGGCCTTCCTCCCTCATTCCCTCATACTTGGCCCGTCATTCCTATCCCTCACTCATCCCTCACTGGTCCCTCACTGGTCCCTCGCTCGTCCCTCACTGGTCCCTCACTGGTCCCTCACTCGTCCCTCGCTCGTACCTCACTGGTCCCTCACTGGTCCCTCACTGGTCCCTCACTGGTGGTCCCTGCAGCCCTCCCTGCCAGCCTGGGTGAGGCTGAGGGCTGCAGGTAAGTGCCGCAGTGGTGGTGGGGGCAACACTCCTCACCCCGCCAATTACATCTCGTCGCCTCCACCGCCCTTGTTTTCACGGCCTGGCCAGGAAATGGGAGGCAGGATGGTTTTATGGCCGGGTGGTGATGGTGTCTATACAGTGCTGGTGGTGGTGATTGGGGAGGTGATGATTGGGGTGGTGGTGATTGGGGTGGTGGTGATTGGGGTGGTGATGATTGGGGAGGTGATGATTGGGGTGGTGGTGATTGGGGTGGTGGTGATTGGGGTGGTGATGATTGGGGAGGTGATGATTGGGGTGGTGGTGATTGGGGAGGTGATGATTGGGGCGGTGGTGATTGGGGTGGTGGTGATTGGGGAGGTGATGATTGGGGCGGTGGTGATTGGGGTGGTGGTGATTGGGGAGGTGGTGATTGGGGTGGTGATGATTGGGGAGGTGATGATTGGGGTGGTGGTGATTGGGGTGGTGGTGATTGGGGAGGTGATGATTGGGGTGGTGGTGATTGGGGTGGTGGTGATTGGGGTGGTGGTGATTGGGGAGGTGATGATTGGGGTGATGGTGATTAGGGTGGTGATGATTGGGGAGGTGATGATTGGGGTGGTGGTGATGTATACAGTTCACCATAACTGAGCATAAAAATTACAAGATCACCATCCGGGGTCACCAGAGGGAGAACAAGGTAGTAAGGAAAGACGGGAGAAGCCCCGCAGGCCATCGACTCTCACCCTCCACACCGTTCCTGGTAGTGAACGTGAACATACAACCCGCATAGACACTGTAAAACACCTAAATTATTGGGATCGTCTCAAAGCTCCCCAAATGTACTCACTAGAAAGGAGAAGAGAGAGATACCAAATAATACACACATAGAAAATACTGGAGGGCCAGGTCCCAAATCTACACAGTAAAATAACAACGTACTGGAGAGAACGATATGGAAGAAAATGCAGAATAGAACCAGTGAAGAGCAGAGGTGCCATAGGCACAATGAGAGAACACTGAACATCAGAGGTCCACAGCTGCTCAGTACTCTCTCAGTAAGTATTAGAAATATTGCCGGTGGATATGTGGTCTTGCGGGCCGCTCCAAACAACAGCCTGTTGGACCAAGTTATCACAAGTCGAGCCTGGCTTCAGGACGGGCCTGGAGAATAGAAGAACTCTCGAAGAACTCTCCAGGTATTCTCCAGGTTAGAATGCCAGGGACCTCGTTGTTTGGGTGCCAATAGTATTAAGAACCAATCGGCCATCCTTCTCTTTATTCCTCCTCTCTTCCCTTCCCTTCTTCCCTACACCTCCCCTCTTCCCTTCCTCCCTTCCCATCCCTCTCCCTCCCTCTCCTCCCCCTCCTTCCCCCCCCTCATTCGCCCCCTTCCCTCCCTCCTTCCTACCCCCCCTCTACCCTGCTTGAGGGATGCCCCAACCCTGTGGTAATTAACAGCTTCGTCCTGACATAACCGCAAGTTCCATTTTCTGGGAGTGACCAGTGAAGCATCAGCGAACCTTGGCAGCTGACAGGGCCAATTAACCTGCCTAGGGGAAGTGGGGAGGTAGAGTCCTAGCGGGGCCCCCAAGACGCCGGATGGGGCCTAGAACTAGGTCAGGTGAGGTCAGGATCAGGTGAGAGAGAGGTCAGTTGCAGGTGAGGTCTCATTAGTCAGCCTCAGTGAGTTTGGCCTTACAGGTGAGATCAGGATGCTGGTGGTTCTCGCATCTCCGGCGTGTAGTGATGATGCTGTGATCTCCCCCCCCCCCACCCCACACTCCTGGTTGATACCTGGTTGATGGGGTTCTGGGAGTTCTTCTACTCCCCAAGCCCGGCTCGAGGCCAGGCTTGATCCGCATCAATACCCTTTTCCCCGACACGAAAAGCATTTTCCCCATTACAACCTTTTCCCTTCACAGCTCTTTCCCCCTCATCACAACCCTTGCCTTCAACCACAACCTTTCTCCCCCCACTACAACCCTTAACCACCTACCCCATCCCCCCATCACCACATTTTCTCATCCACCATAATGATTACAAATACCTGATACTCAGATCACAACTTATTTGAAGTTCTGACAAGCATGGGGAGCAGACCTGCACAACCAGTCCAGAGTCCCAGTGGAGGAGATTTCAGCAAATTAAATTTCAACAATAAACAGATAAACTGGGAGCAAATAAACCAAGACTTCAGAGAAATAAGCTAGGAAGAACAACTAGAAAATGCAAACCTGAACCAGTGCCTGGAAAATAAGCTCAGTACTAGAAATAAGCTCAAAACCACATACCCCTAAGATAAAAGAGGAAAAGGTGCAGATTGGAACGGGAACGTCGTTCCCTCTATAGGCGAAGAAAACGAATCGCGGAACAATTTGAGAGTCGCACCCTTTCTCAAGAACGGCGAAGAAAGTTAGGTAGAGAAGTAGAAACAATTGAACTAAAGCTACAAGAATCATGCAAAACCCAGGAGAGGCAAAGAGAGCAATAGAGAAAAATCCGAAATATTTTTTCTCCTATGCAAAATCATGATAACAAACCACATCTAGTATCGGGCCCCTGCGAAAGGGAGATGCAACTTTTACAGATGACAACAAAGAAATGATCGAAATACCGAGGAAGCAGTACAACTCTGTTTTCAGCGAGCCACTAAACACACTGAAGATTGATAACCCAAATGAATTTTTAATGAATGTGATACCAACATCAAATCATATATCAGATGTCACCCTATCCCACTGGATTTTGAAGAACTATGACATGGCATTAGATGCCATGGAAGAAGTCGGTCCCTGGTGTGGACCAACGGGAAGGAGCTACCTGGTGTGGACCAACAGGAGGGAACTACCTGGTGTGGACCAACAGGAAGGAGCTACCTAGTGTGGACCAACAGGAAGGAGCTACCTAGTGTGGACCAACAGGAAGGAACTACCTGGTGTGGACCAACAGGAGGGAACTACCTGGTGTGGACCAACAGGAAGGAACTACCTGGTGTGGACCAACAGGAAGGAACTACCTGGTGTGGACCAACAGGAGGGAACTACCTGGTGTGGACCAACAGGAAGGAACTACCTGGTGTGGACCAACAGGAAGGAGCTACCTAGTGTGGACCAACAGGAAGGAGCTACCTAGTGTGGACCAACAGGAAGGAGCTACCTAGTGTGGACCAACAGGAAGGAGCTACCTAGTGTGGACCAACAGGAAGGAACTACCTGGTGTGGACCAACAGGAAGGAACTACCTGGTGTGGACCAACAGGAAGGAACTACCTGGTGTGGACCAACAGGAAGGAGCTACCTGGTGTGGACCAACAGGAAGGAACTACCTGGTGTGGACCAACAGGAAGGAACTACCTGGTGTGGACCAACAGGAAGGAACTACCTGGTGTGGACCAACAGGAAGGAGCTACCTGGTGTGGACCAACAGGAAGGAACTACCTGGTGTGGACCAACAGGAAGGAACTACCTGGTGTGGACCAACAGGAAGGAACTACCTGGTGTGGACCAACAGGAAGGAGCTACCTAGTGTGGACCAACAGGAAGGAACTACCTGGTGTGGACCAACAGGAAGGAACTACCTAGTGTGGACCAACAGGAAGGAACTACCTGGTGTGGACCAACAGGAAGGAACTACCTGG